TATACTTATGAAAAAAATAATGGTTGAATGGACAAAAAATCATGGTGGAATACTGGAATGGCCGAGAATGGAGAGGGAAAATGGGACTAGTGAATAGTGATTAGATTGATTTTGGAGGGGTAAAGGATCTGCGGATCTGGGGTAGCGGGAAGCTTAAAAATTGAGTTAGGTGTGAGGTGCGCAGCAGAGAAGGGTCAGAAGGCCGTGCAGAAAGGGCGGGCACCATTAGGGTTTGCCGGTTTGCAATGGCTGAGAAGTGAGAATGGAGAGGGAAAAGAAAATGTCAAAATAGGAAATTAGATCTTTAGCCTTAGCTAGGTGATAAGTCTAATAGTGATTAGACTGAACTGATTTTGGAGGGGGAGGAGGGAAAGGATCTGATCTGGAGTGCCGAGTGGAATGGACAATGGAGGGAAGGGAAGCTTTAAAATTGAGTTGAGGTGGGCGGAGGCGCGGAGAAGATGGCAGAAGGGGCGGGCGGGATTAGGGTTTCTGCTACAGCCGCTTGCTCCTTTTGTTCTTTTAACTTTTAAGTTTTGCGTTTTTTTGGGTCTTTTGGCTTGGGCCTCCAATTCGGTTTTCAGGAGGCCCATTTTGGTTTTTGATTTTTGGAAGGCCCAACCGAAATCGAACCGAAGTTCATTCGGGTAATGCAAAACCCAATCTTTGAAACCCGAAAACCGATAGCACCGAACCGAATTCATTTTTTCGGGTCGATTTTCGGGTAATCATTCGGTTGCCCAACCAAACGCCCAGGCCTACCCAAGCCTTTTTCTCCCCAGATCTAAAATGAATCTAGGCCATTTCCTCTTTTTGTTCTTTAATCAAATTCTACTTAAATCCATCCCTTTCTACCATTTTGTTTTACTGTAGTTCTCCCCCTCAAAACCTAGGTTTGAAAATTCCCAAAACTAGAAAACCCACAAAACCTAGGTTTGAAAATTCCCAAAACTAGAAAACCCACAAAACCCAAGTGGCCCCAATCTTAGCTTTTCCAACATGGGTGATGACAGAATGAAAGCGATCTTAAATCTTTATCTTCAACCTCTAAATCCTTTCATTTTCTCTCCCTTTCCCCAACATTAGATCTGGGTTCCTTTGCAGGTTCCCACTTGTTTAGCTTCATGCTTTGTGCCGATGAAACTGACGATGATGAAGAAGAGGAAGAAGAGGCTGCAGATGATTAGGATGAGGATGGAGGTGAGGAGGAAGATGAATTTGGTGAGGACGGTGAACAGCAAGAAGGAGAAAGGAAAGGAGAGAGAGAAAGAAAGGATTGGGTAACGGAGAGTCGGAGACCATCAATGCATATAACGGAAACCATCAGAGTGTGTAACAAGATAGTGTAGTTGTATCATTCTCCATTTATTATTAAATATTTATTTTAAATGAGATATATATGAATGAAATAGAATTCTAAAACTCTTAAATAAATCACCGTGAGTCTCTGACTTATCTTGACAACACATCAAATACCAATTTCAAATTAAACTTATCTGCGACCTGTTATTTATTCAATTTCAAAAGTATTGCCTAAAAACTTCTGCAGAAGGTAGGGCACACGGTTGGAGTAGGAAGGAGAGAGGTACACCAAAGTTGCTGAAGGTAATTTTCGAGAGGTAATATTTTCAGACGTTGAATACTTCAATCACCAGATCTGATTTTCGGGCAAACAACAAACTTTAATCACTGCGTAGCCAGTATACTCTCTAAGAAGCAAAAACTTGTAACAATGGAAAGGAAAAGCACAAAGAGAGGCAAAATTCACCAAAGAAACTAATCTGTTTGTGGGGCAATTTTTATTTCGTATATAAGTCTTCATGTTTGGCTCCTTTCACGTATTAATTTGTTTGTTTATAATATTTTTCAGAATGGAGAGTGGAAGAGTTTACGTTAGAAGAGATCGAAGCAACAATAATATTCTTTCAGGTATAACATATGGCGGAAATGAACATTTTGTTGGTATAGTGACGATGAAACACAACCACCAGATAGTTGGGAAAATGAGTTGCATGATCCATCAAATGGATTCATGATGGGCCAACAAGGTAAAAATGCATATGTTGTTCACTTTAAACTCTTCAAGTCCTTAAACATATTAAATATCAAATTATAATAATTTTTATTATTTTTATTTTAAAAACAAATAATTTTTTTATTAAAACATTTATTTTTTCCAAGTTTTTATCATTAATATTTATTAAAAAAATCGTTATTGACATATTTCTCACCAAAACCTCCATATTTCTCTTCTAGTATCCTTTCCCAAAGACCGCCACTGCCATGCGCCAGCTTCTCCCACCACTTACCTAAAAGAGCCAAATTGAAATATCTCAATTTTTATGCCGAAGCCACCGTTATCTTTACTAGTGCAACATCTAACGATAAATTCTTGATTTTGTAAACATTCAGATTCAAACTCTAAAAAAAAGAAGGTACGAGGTTTATACAAGTCCGTCTCAGTATTTATAAAAACTGGAGGGAGAAAAAAAATTAAAAGTTCATATCCCTAAAGATAAGGCTTAAGTACCATTTTAGTCTCTCAACTTTTCACTTTGGCATCAAAATTGTCCCTCAACTTTAAAAAGTACCAAAATTATCCTTAAATTTTCATTTTTGGTACCAAAATAGTCCTTCCGTCAATTAAATGACAGGTGGCTCGTTAAGATGCCAGCAAATCTTTTCTGAACTAATGACATGGAATTAAAAAAACATAAGTGACAATCTTTTGTTATGAGTTGGCATATTTATTTAATTTAAAAATAATGAT